GCAGGATAAAAAGGGAAACCCTGGAACTCCCAAATCCTTCAAAGGAAAATATCTCATTTGCTGATCCTGCTTTGTATGGAAAAAAAATCACCCACTTGATCAAAAATTTGGATAAACAATATAGCATTTGTTATTCAGAAAGCATTATAATTCTCTTTATTCAGGCAAGTCTCTATCCCTCATCTGTCAAAGAAGATAATCTCCTGTTCCCTGTTCCTGAAAGGAGCAATTGTTAAATTTCATTTTTCAGAGATCAAGGTGTTAGACTAGTTCAGGGTAACATCCCACGTGTGGCCTATTAATCCACTTATGCCAAAAAGGTGTTTCAAAGTCTGTTGCATTTTCACAACCAGAGGCGTAAGTGATGCCAGATCTGTGTTCTCCTGTGTGTGGATGCGCTAAGTTAGGACCGATGGGCCATGAGGACCCAGTTAGCAGGCCCTACTGAGTGTGTGAGAGGCATGAGAACAGAGCCTCCTGGGAATCACAAGATCTAGTGATCAGGACACAGGGGTGTCCCATGTATCCCCTGAGCCACTGCCACCAGCAAGACCCTGGGGCACTGTCCTCCGTGGCCTGTCCCTGGGACATGCTTCCACTGCCAAGGGTCAACACTTCAAACACCTTTGTGTTCCTACACAGCAGCATCAGCGAGCTGAGAACACATAAGCAAAGTGGTTTGACTATCTCCCCACTTTACAACTGTGAAAACTGAGCTGGTAAGGCCATAGGCACGAAGATCCAGGTCTCCCCACATGTGGGTTTTTTCCTTATACTCCAGGTATTGAGTTAGCCACTGCTAGTGGGAGATTCCCAGAGAGAGAGGAGAGGGGCCTAGGGGATGGGCATTTCCAGAAGCATTGTAGGCTGATGGATTTAGGGGTCAGAGGAGTTGACAGGGTCATTAAGATCAAAGGTCAGAGGGCCTGGGGTGGGGAAAGCACAGGCTATCCAGTGCTCCTTCACCCTTACTCACACATTGAGGTATATTCTTTGCTTCACCCATGCCACTTCCCTCTTCTCTTGGAGAACGCCCCACGTGTTTTGGAGGCATATTTGCAGTCATAACGGGCTCCCAAACACAAGAGCAGGCTCATGACCCAGGCTGAGTCAACAAGATGCTACCTGATCCCTCTTGCTAACACAGTCCTTTCCTGAGATTAATAAAACCAAAGCTGCTTTATGATATAACCAAATTGAAGTTTGGGACAATAGAGGCCCTACCTCCTGCTCCAGGAGCCTGACTACATGGAAGAAAGTGAAACCAACCCCCAGAGACCAACAGCAATGACAGACAGGCAGAAAGAGCTCCAGGACATTGAGATCCCTGGATCCAACCCCCCAACCCCAACCCACCACCCCCAATCAGAGCTGCCTTTCCCTTTCTGGAGTTGAGTTGAATGAGCCGATAAATTTCCCCCTTTGTCCTTAAGTCAGTTGGGCTGGTCTTCTAAAGGATCAGAGGAGCTCTGACCGAAGCACAAACGTGACTTACTGTTTGGGTGATGCAAAGCCAGAAACGGATGTTCCATGTGTAGGATAGAGTATATTTCAGTGACTGCAGAGGCCTCTGATGCTTGGGAACACATATCAGCCAGCACGGGAGAGACAAACTGTCCTGGGACAGAGAGCAAATGGGCCAGCAAGGCCTCTGCAGTTCCCCAAGTGATATGCCAACCACAAACCTGCCCTGGAAATGAGTTTGACCCATAGAGAGCAACGCACTTCCAGCTTGCTCTCCCACAAGATCGCAGGGCCCTGAGGCTTCCTCATATTCCAGGGGGACACTGCCCTCGCTACATCAGGTGACTACAGCCTCCACGAAAGATGGAGTTGGAAATGCTGGGAATGCAAGTGACACCCCTCCCCACCGTGCCAGGGTGAGGAGAGCCAGGACTGAGAAGCCAGGGAGTCCTTCTGTTTGGGAGTTGTTTCACCTGAAGATACCCACTGAATTATGTGTATAGAGGCAAACCCACGTGGTGCTACTGTGGAGACTGAACTACCCAACCAAGAGTCATACTCCACCAAAATGAAAATGCATACATTGTGCAAAAATGAAAAACGATGTAAGAATTATATAAAATAAAATATTAAAAAAATAATAAAATGCCCCAGTTCTTGTATGCATAAATAAATAAAATGAATCTTTAAAAAAATTTAAAAAAATTATTTTGAGCTACTGGATCTTCAGCATTACAGAATCCCTAATCTTTATTTTCCTATTATTATGTCTACAATAAGAACAGGAAAGCCAGCTCCTGGGCTCTAAATGGGCACCCACTCTGATGGGGCCAAGATGAAGTCTGGCTTAGCAGGCAACAGTAGGGAAGGAGAGAGACTCACCCACCATGAAAACATTCAGAACTGGGGCTTTTACTACAGCAACACAGAGGAGTCACCCCAAATGTCTGCAAACAGGACATGGGGTGAGTCCATGGTACATCCACGCTGTGACCTGCATTACTCCAAGAGGTTAAAGGAAGAATGACATTCTTTATTCATTGAACTGGAAATAACACCAAGGTATTTTATTAAGTGATATAATAGCAAATAATGGCAAAGTTCCAACTTTGTTTGCAGTGTGTTGCCTTCAATGCGAGGAAGGGATAAAAATTAGAACATGTATTCGGATTTGCTTGAATTTGGATAAATACTGAAAGGACTAAAAAAGCAGCTTCCAGGCAGTGAGCAATGAGTTGATGGAAACAGGTGGGAAGCTGACTTTTCAGTTGTTTTAATTTTGAAATGTGTATATTCAAAATGGTACAACAATAGTAGTAACACAAAACTATGAATAAGACATGATTTTTACCTATGTAGATCAACTAATTTTTAAAATGACAATTTTTTTTGTAAACTGGAGACCTCACTGCATAGTATTGGGCTCTGAAAAGTCAACATAGTATTGACCAAACATTAACCATATCACGCCCTGACCCAACAGGTGTCACATGACACTGCCTTGTTCTTTGTGTGTGCTGGGTGAGGAACTCTCCTCTCAGCCTCGCTACCATCCACCCATGTTTAGGGCCACCCTTGGTGCAAATCTCACAGGCCACAGAGGTCACTGTGACTCAGCCACCAGATGCCACCTTGGCACTGAGGTGCAAGCCCAGCCCTAGAGCCGTCCACTTTTCTCCTTGCTGAGACTCCATCTGACCAGCAGTACCTGGGGCCCCATACCAAGTGCCTGGCCCCTTCCAAAAGTTGGTCTCCACAGCCCCTTTTGCTCTGTTCATTAAAACCACCACAGCAGCTGGGCTAGCCCAGCTGCCATCCCGGGCGTGGCCACACTAGCTGATGTGAGCTGGATCCTGAGAGGTAGCTAGGTTCATTGCCTGCACTTCCAGCCGCCGGCTCCATGGGCAGTGCACACTCACCATGGTAACACACAACCTCTATGGAAACCCTCATCTCCTTGCTTAAAACTACTCAAAGGAAGATCTATCCCAGTTGATCCATTAAAAGGCACTTATTAAATACCTTTTGCCAAAGTTAAAACATGTCTAACAAGAAGCTGTTAAAGGCAGAGATTCATGGTTGTGGTTCCCTAAGACGAGTGATCAGTGAGGTCAAACGTCTCACACCAGGGCCGCTCAGACACTATCCCTTGACGAACCTTCCCACAAAGGCTTAGCACACGAGGCTGTGTTTTCAGGTAGTGGGGCACCCTTTTGTGTGTGGTAACCCCAAATTGTTCTCACTGCTCCACTGTTCCACTCCATGAGCTCTGCTGAGGGATATTTGCCTTATTCATTAAAGGGGAGAACATTGGAAGCACTTAAAATAAAATGCTCTGAGTTTCAAAACCGTGAAGATTTCCAGCAGGCTAAAGAGAAGAGACGTTCTTGGCTGGAACAAGAGGAAAAATGAGAGGAAACCCCGTGAAAGATGAAAGGTTAGCTGGTCTGAATGGATGCTAAGATCTTGTGTTGCTGATTTTCACCAAGCAGGATTTATTTGTTCCCTCCTTGCCTTCATTTCTAATTCGATATTTTGTAGTTGTCACTGGATGGCAGCTTGGAATCCAATTCAGGGCCACATTGTCCCATAAAATGTAAGTGTTGTCCAATTCAAGGCAGAAACTCCCCCTGTGAGGCCCTGGATCGGGAGGGCTTATGAGATCAACAAGACTAATCTGCTATCAAGGAGAACCTCAGCCTCTGACACTTGAGGCTAGAACTTACAAAACCAAATAAAATCAATTATTTCCTAAGCTTAACTGCACCCGATTTAAAAGGAATAGGGAAGGTTGGTTCTTAATTCCAGGATTCCAGGTCCATGATGGAAAACTTGGCTAGAATGATAGAATTCTTGTTTTCTTATGAATTATAAAAGCAGCTATTAGGAGAGCTCATAATTGTATAGGCATGGCCTTTTTTTTTTAAAGATTTATTTATTTATTTTATACAAGAACAGGGGCACAGGCCAGATGCGCGGGAGGGTGAGAGGATTCACCAGAGACACAGCGGGGAACAGAACAGGCAGACTGAAGAAATACACTGCTGAGGGGAGTAGCGGGCAAGACAGGAGAGGTCTGCTGCCGCCATGTGGGACCCTCACCGGTCAGCAAGGATTGATCCAGCGCTGCAGAGGCTGCGGACAGCTTCACAGCATGGCGCTCAACCACCTGTGCCACCAGGGGAGGCCCTAGGCATGGCCTTTGCAGAGGGCAAATTATGTCTGCTTAAAGGTTGGTACTGTCAAATATAGCACTCAAGCTTATCTCCTCTACGCCTGCAATCCTGGCTCATCACTCTACCTTATAGGGTAAATGAGCCTGTTGAAAACCTCTTAGGGAGCGCTAAAAGGAATTCCCACATTCCAGATCCACAGTGAAGAACAGAGTTTCAAAAACACAAATCTGTATGGACAAAGCATGGACATAATTTAGTCAGTCAAATCTAACTTAATCTACATTACTCATTACACACACACACACACACACACACACACACCCTCTCCCAATACAAATAGGAATCTCCCCAATTACTCACCTAGTCCACCCTGACAAATGTCTGTGCGCGTGGCTCCACCAATGATAAACTGGGGACTGGGACACAATTCCTGAAAGTAATTTGCGACAAAACACAAGTCACAAGATGCCCATGGACCGTGGCGACATGGGGGAAGGAACTTTAGAGTCATAGAATTCAGACCTGGGAGAAACCTAGCAGATGGTTATTGCATATACCTAACCTTATTGCTGCAAACTCTGAAGGCCAGAAAGGTAAGAGACCAGCTCACAGCCACATAGCCATGGGTGGTAGAGTGGGGGCTACAGCCCACTGCCACCTGCAACCACCGTTTTTATTACTATGCATGCTGTGTGAATGTGAAAAATGGGGGATTGGTTTCAGGGAGTCAGGAGAAAGGCAAAGGCTGAGATAATAATGTCATGAAATGGGATCTCACCCATTCAGACAACACCCCTATTTACAGAGTGGACTGAAATAATGTTTAGCTCTAACAAGATACCATGTGCTCTGTGGACACTCATTAAATCCTTGACTAAATGATGATGGGCCTAGGGGCTGATGAAACCCTGAGGTGTCAAGAAGAGCCACACCTGGGAGGAGACCTCATACCTGACACTCCCTCCACTACTATCTCGAACTGGCAATCCGCCCCTGGCAATCGCAGCCCCTAGAGCTCCATTAGGGCACCTTGAAGTCTTCTGTGGGCATTTGTTTCCTTGCTGTGTACCTAGCAAGGGTTGACTGAGTGCCCATTCTGTAATAGTACTATCTGTGCAATACAGGCAGAGGAAAGAGGGAAACATGGCAAACACAAGGCTCTGGGCCTCAAGTGCCTTTGGTCTATGTGGGAAACCAAACTGACATTCACAACAAAATCAAGAAAGGTATAGTGCCTAATAATGGAATGAGGACCAGACTGACTTAGGGAGAAAGATGGAAAATGCCCAAAAAGTATAATGTCGGAAAGACTGACTAGAGGGGAGATGATGTGTCCCCTAGAAGGGCAGGATTTAGGAGTAGGCTACAGCCTGGTTTCCAAAGGAAAGGTGGGTCTGCCCAGCCACCAGGCAAAGTTCTGGGGAGGATGGGTAGACTCAAAGGATACAAAAGGTCAGTCCACATGTAACCATAGGCCCCCTGGTTTGCACAACATCAGGACTATCTGGCCCTAAAGAGTGAGAAGCATTCCCACCTACACCACAGAGATGAGAAATGGCAGATCACAAAGAATAAGAAAGCAAGAGGCTGAAGGCAGACATGGGGAGGGGGGAAAGCAGGGGGGCCTGAACTGGGTTTCTGGGGTTGTGTTGGATTATTTGGAGCCTGCCCACCAAGCGGTAGCCCTATAACCCTGTGTAACATTGCCAGCTCCTGGGCAAAAATGAGCAGAAATATCACCTTTAGGTTGACCTTTTTTTCTCCCCAGTGTTAAAAATGTTTCATCAAATTTTTTTTTTAAGTAATGCATGCCCACTGGTAAAAAAATAAATAAAATCTGATAGCAATTAATACTTCTGCTTCAGATTTCTGTTAACATTCTTACTTAAACTTCTGCAAAGCACTTTATATATATATATATATATACACACACACACACACACACACACACACACACACACACACCATACTTGTATTGCATGTCTTAGACATCTTTTCTTAGCACATACAGAGCTTTATAATTTTATTATAAAAGCACCGTGAGTTATTTGGTTAATCTTTTAGTGATAGCCCTTTCCTCTTGTTTATTTTTGTTTATTCACTTTCAATCTTTTGCCATCTCTAGTGGCAATTTAAAGAGAAGTGGCAGTCTAACCCCAGGTGCTGAAGCACCCCAAATCTCCAGACTGTCATCTCCTGATAAACAATAGATAAGTGAAAGGGGGGAGACAAAATAATTGATTTAAATTATGTTTTTAAAAAGGAAGGAAAAAATAAAAGGAAGCAAGTGGTTGCTTCATTAAAAAGAGAAAGAGAACAAGGGTTTGGCAGAATCTCTCTCCCTTACAATCCTCCTAAAATACACTTTTCTATTCCTTACCATCCATTCATCCATCAGTCTCCTGAAATCAGCTGCTCCATGAAACCCTCTCTCCAAGTGACCAACAGTCCCAGCATAGGCTGTTACTCCCCACCCTCTGCCAGCCACCTGACTCCCTGAGCCCAAGCTCACTGGCTGCCTTGACATTTGATACTGTTGCCTCTTCCCTCTTCTGAAAATTCTCTTTTGGCTTCTGTATCCTTAGTCACACCTGACTTTCTCTTCTGCTCTCTAAATCCTCTCTCTCAGTCTCCTTCAAGAGCATCTCTGTTCTGCTCACCCCTAAGAACTAGGAAACCCCTGGGTCCAGTTCTTAGCAACGATCGCCCTTCACACAGCAGTAATGAGCCCAAGGCATTCCATCTTGGTGACATCAGTCAAACCCATACGGGCTACTGAATATGCTGGTGCCTCCCAGATCACCCCCCCCCGAACTCTATTCAACTACCTATACCCCACTGTTCACATAATATGAGCTTACATATTACATATCATATCTAACAGGTTCACCAAGTTCTGCTAAAATTATTGGTTTGGTATGGAAGACAGAGTAGTTTGCAAAGGCTAGAGACAATTTAAGGTGCTATGACCATAACTGTGCCAACTGTGCCAACTGTGCCAACTGTGTAAGTGGAATGTTCATTTTACTGTATGTTATTCATCTGTAATTTAAAATTCCCCCTCTGGGGAAAAAACAACCAAGAAATGCTGTGACTAATATGGTGTATGAATTATGTAGAGGCCACAGAGAGTCCTCAGCTTTTCTAGGAGATTGCATCTCAGCTTTATGCCTGAAGTCTTCTCTCCATTGCTAATTTCCTATTGGAACTCAAAGCAGAATACAAAGTAATTGACAACCGAAGAAGTTTCAAAGAGGCTGTACTCTATGAAGTGGTAGGATCCTGCCTCCCCACACTTTGGACACAGCTCTTTTCTATATATAAATACACACACACACACACACACATATTCACAAACATACGTATGTACATATACGTATTTATATACACACACATATACACACACACACATATGTGTGTATGTATATAAAAGGGCAGGTTTGTTATTAAAAGGGAAGAGAAGGGAAGTCAAGGGTTCTTGCACTGACACAAGCGGGCAGAAAGAACTGCCCCTGAAAGGGACAGGTTTGTTAAAAGAGAGGCCTATATAGGTGCTGGCTCCCTGCTGAGTTCTACAGGTGATGGCTCCTTGCTGTGCTGTATAAGCTCTGACTCCCTCTGAACTGTATAGGTGCTGGCTCCCTGCTGAGCTCCATAGGGTCTGTCTCCCTGTTGAGCTCTATAAGTGTTGGCTCCCTGCCGCGTTCTAAAGGTGCAGGGTCCTGGCTGTGCTCTATAGGTGCTGGCTGTTTCTGAGCTCTATAGATTCTTAATCCCTCCTCAGCCCTCTAGATGTTAGCTAACTCCTGAGCTCTGTAGATGCTGAATCCCTGCTGGGCCCTATAATTGCTGTTTCCTGCTGAGCTGTATTGCTGCTGGCTCCCTGCTGAGCTCCATAGGTCTGTCTCCCTACTGATCTCTATAGATGCTGGCTCCCTGCTGAGCTCTGTAGGCACTAGTCACCTGCTGACCTCTATAGGTGCTGGCCCCCAGCAGAGCTCTATAGGCCCTGCCCCATGCTGAGCTCCATAGGGTCTGTCTCCCTGTAGAGCTCTATAGGGTCTGTCTTCCTGTTGAGCTCTATAGGCACTGGCTCCCTGCTGGGCTCTAAGGTGCAGGGTCTTGGCTGTGCTGTTTCTGAGCTCTACAGATCAGAGCAAGAGCTCTATAGATTCTGAATCCTTCCTTGGTCCTATAGATGCTAGCTAACTCCCAAGCAATGTAGATGCTGAATCCCTGCTGGATCATAAAATCACTGTTCCCTGTTGAGCTGTATAGGTGCTGGCTACATGCTCAACTCTATATGCTCTGAATCCCTGCTGAGCTCCATAGGCACTGGCTCCTCAATCAGCTCTATAGGTGTGGTTCAGCTCTCTACTGAGCTCTATAGGCACTGCCTCCCTACTGAGCTCTAACCGTGTAGGGGCATTACTGTGCTCTACAGGTGCTGGCTGTTTCTGAGAATTGTTGAATGGGCAGAAAGAACTGCCCCTGAGAGGGACAGGTTTGTTAAAAGTGAGGCCTGTATAGTCCCAGGTGGGCAGTCTTGGGAGGACGCTGCCTATGCTGCTTTGCAAAGGGAGAAGGTTGGGACGAAAAGCACCTGCATGGTCACCGGTGAACAGGGGAACTGCTGCTGGACACAACTCTTTTCTTCCATAATAGCAATCAGGTCATTTTGGTAATAATGTTTACTATTACTCAGGTAAGAATCTCAAAACAATCCATAAACACCAATTACTTAAGCCTCAGATGAATGGGCACAAGGGAAACGCAATTGTCAGTAAGGAATCCAAAGCAGGAAATGACTCAAACTGCACATTCTCAGTGACAAAGGCACCTTGGAGACATTGCTTCCCAGAACATCAGGCCATGTCCAGTAGTTTGGCACTTTGGAAGCTCTGGCTGTGCACTTTCAGGAAATCCAGTGAGGCCAACGTCTTTATCACCAGCACCATCAGCATGGCTGCTTACTTAGCTCACAGGGACTCCAGCACCTCTAGGATTTGGCCCCGCAAATGATTCCAGCCTCATTCCTTTTTCCTACAATGTTCTTTCTCTAATTATGACAGATGATACTGCCTTCCTCTGAATCTACTTCTTTGAATCCTCTGCTCAACCAGTGCCTTTCTCACACTGTGCCTTCTTGGTCATGTCCCTCTTCTTTTAACAAGCCCAGCTCTAATGTCTGTAGTCAAATTTAACTGCTTCTTCCCCTGAACTCCCATATATTTTATATTTACCCTTTGGACACTCTGTCTTAAAGTAATAGCTCAAGATAACTCACAGAAGGTACTTATTATGTGCAGACACTGAGCTTTTTTCAAACCTCTCAATAACCCAAAGAGATAAGTAATATTATTATTCCCACTTCATAGATGAGGAAACTGAGTCCCGTGATGTTAGTAACTCACCCATTATAATACAGCTTGTAAATGGTAGAAAGGCAACCAGAATCCCAATCCACCTGGCACCCGAACCCAAGCACTCAACCATTCTGCTACCTGTGAATTATCCAATGGTCTCTCTCCCTGACTAGCTAAAGCCTCAAAAGACTCCTCCCTAGCATTTGCTCCTGACCAGTGCTCAGCAAATCAAGGCTGAATTGAAAATTCCAAATTTATTAGCTCAAGAGATAGTGTCTGAAACTCCCAAGAGTGGAGACCCAAAACAAGGCCTCTCCCTTCATCTTATTTTATTTTTATTTTTAAAGATTTATTCATGCATACAAGAACTGGGGTACAGACCAGATGTGCAGGAGGGTGAGAGGATTCTGCAGAGACAGAGTGAGGAACAGAACAGACAGACTGACTGAAATACATTGCTGACGGGAGCAGAGGGCGAGACAGGAGAGGTCTGCCGTGCCATGTGGGTAGCTCCCTAGCCAGCCGGGATTGAACCCATTGAACCCACAGCTGCAGACGCTGTGGACAGCTTCACAGCACTGTGCTCAACCCCCTGTGCCACCAGGGAGGCCCCACTCTTATTTTAACCTCTCAACAAGCCAACCCCTCAATGTTTGTCTTAACGGGGTTGGCCTTTTCATGGGTCGTTACTATGCACCTGGCAGCACCACACTCCTCTCTCTGCATTTTCCCTTAAGATCAATAAACTACTAACAGGCCTAAAATGGACAGAGAAGAAGGTCACTGACTGGGCTGCACGACGCAAGTGCACACAGGGCATACCTCAATCCATGGGGCTGAACTGAGCACCAACCCAGTGTGGTGGGGAAGCAGGGAGTTAAGGGTGGAGAAACAGCTGCTGAGAACACAGCTGGATCTCATGAGATAAGCCATTATTTGATGGCTGAATTTTTGCTCTCACCCAACACTAGTGAGGAAAATGCTTTAGGATCATGACTAGCCAAAAATTTATCCTGAGAACCCAAACTTCTTGATAATTAAGATCTTCAATCTAAACAAACTTTTTTTTCCAACCCTTAAACACATGCTCCAGCAAACGTTTTGCTCAGAAGCTTAAAAATAGCAAAAACACCTGGAAAGGGAAGGTTGTCAAATTTCATGATTTCAGGAAACATCTACATCTCAGACTTTATTACTAAGAGGATAAAAACATATGTATATATTTAACATATCTCATCTGCTTTCCCCTCAAGGCAAGTAAAAATTAACAGCTCTATGGAACCAGGATCATAAGAGGCACATCTGGGCAGCTGACTTAAAGCTGACTGAAGTAAAGGAGTCACCTCAAAAGCAACATGTGGGTCACAAAAGCAAGCAGCCCAATTTAAAAGGTGCAAAGAACTTGAATAGACATTTCTACACAGAAGACATCCAAATACAACAATCACATGAAAAGATGTTAAGCATCACTAAACACTAGGGAAATGCAAGTCAAAACACAATGATATACCAACTCATACCCATTAGAATGGTTACTGCCAAAAAAAAGCAGACAATAACAAAAGTTGGCAGGATGTGGAGAAACTGGACGCTTTGGGCACTGTAGGTGGGGATGTGAAATGGGCTGCAGCTATGGCAAACAGTATGGTGGTTCCTCAATTAATGGAAACAGAATTACCAAATGATCCAGCAATTCCATCTCTGGGTATAGACTCAAAATGAACTGAATTCAATGTCTCAGTTAGGTCTCAGGTATAGTTGTATACCCGTGTTCATAGAAACACGATCCACAGTAGCCAAAAAGTAAAAGCAATGCAAGTATCCATTGACAGGTGAAAGGATTTTTAAAATGTGGTGTATCCATAAAATGGAATATTATTCAGCCTTAAAAAGGAAGGAAATTTTGACATGTGTTACAACATGGATAAATCTTGAGGACATTATGTCAAGTGAAATAAGTTAGTTATAAAAAGACAAATATTGTATGATTCCACTTACATAAGGTGCCCAGAGTTTTCAAATTCATAGAGACGGAAAACAGAAGGATGGTTGCCAGGAGCTAGGAGGAAGAAGGAATGGGGAGTTGTGTTTAATGGATGCAGTTTTAGTTTTGCAAGAACTGCATTCCTATCAAAAAAGTTCTGCAGAGAGATGGTAGCTGTAGTTGCACAATATAAATGTACCTAATGCCCCTGAACTGTACACTTTAAAATGATGGAAATGGCAATTTTTCTGTTATGTGTATTTTACAGCAATCTAAGAAAGAATGGAAGGAAGGGAAGTAGGGAGAGAAGGGGAAAGCACCAAGTGAACTCATTAATGCATCTCATTTCTGGACACCCCAGCTTTTTTGTAGGCCCCCAGGAGTTCTCTTGGGAAGAAACAAATGAAGCATTTAGGACTAAGCTATTTTCCCAGATTCCAAGGCACCTCCCCAATAGAGATAGAATCAGGATCATTACAGACTCAGGAGTCTATCTAATAATCTGAAAGATCTTAGAAGATAAAACTGTGTCTTACAATGTATTTTGTGATGTGTGAGCACAAGTGGCCAAACCAGAGTGATATTTTTTCATTGATGATTGAGGATAAAGAGGGTAAATTTGACTCCAAACAACAGGAATATTTCAATTCTACATTAATCAGGTTCTGCTGCCTCATCCTCCAGATTTTGCAAAATTCAACTGTCAGACACAAACCAATACATCTGTCTAAAACTACCATATTTGTCTGGACAGACAGGTAAAAACAAGATTTGGGGGAAAACAGGCAATGTGGGTGAGGATGTAAGGGCTTTAAGAATTTCAAGAGAAGGAAAAAAACCTAGGCAAAGGTTAACTCATAGCTCACTTTAGTCACAAAATGAAAGCCTCTCCCAAACCAAGCCCTCTTCCACCTTCCCTGGTCCCACCCACCAAGCCCATTGGTGTCCTTGAATGCCACTGAAATGTGTCCACTTCCCTGGTCTCCCCATCATTTGATCCTAATGTTCCAGGCCCCCATGGTCTCTGCCTCTGTGCGTTTCCTTCATTCTTCCCAGGGTGCCAATCCTTTATCCACAAGTCTGTCTCCCCATCATCTCCACCAGAGCCAAGACCACACTTCATCCCTAGGGCCACTCCATGTAATTCTCGCAATCCTCACCACCTCTCCGTGCAAACTCAAGGCATTGCAAACTCAAGGATTTCACTTGTGGCCGAGGTGAAATCACTTAGTAAAGGTCACATTGTAGTAGGTCATGGGCTAGGCTTGGGGATGAGGCTACTCTCCAACCCTCATGGGGCAATGACAATTCGTGACCGTACCTTTCAGCAATGATGTCACAACTTACCCCAGGACTGATTACATGCAGCATTGATTTTTTCTACTGTGTGCTGGCCCAGGGCCTATACAATAACTACCATGTGCTGTGTGTGTTATGTACCGGGCACTATGCTCTGAGTTTTATCTCCAGCCTTATTAACAGCTCTGAAAAATAAGGTGCTGGTGGCACCATTTTACAAATGAGAAAACTGAGGCTCACAGAGGTATTTTCCCCAAGACCACCCAGGCAGAGCCAGAATTCAAATCCAACCAGTCTTGTTCCAAAGTCAATTCATGCCCCACCTTCCATACCTCATTCTCTCGGAAAATGATTTTTAAAAAGAAAGAGGCATTTTGAAATATGGGATCCAAGAATTTAGGATCCAGAACCATCACTTCTTTCTCAGTGACTTCTGACTGGAAATGAGGACCTGCCACCTGTCTGATCTTGACAACAAGCGCGTCTCCTTACCGTGGGCCGCTTCCAGACAATGCCTTGAGTTTGGGGGGAGCGTGGTCCAAGATCCTTGTAGCCCAAGGCTGATGGGCATGCTGGGAACTCTGGGTCCTTAAATAGGACTCCTGAATCCAAGCACTCTTGCCTTAGGGTCTCGTAGTCCTGACCCAAGTACTTCACAGCTTTCTGGCTGGAGCCAAGACCTTCAGCAGCCGCCTGTTTCTTGGATACACTGGCTGCCAGGGCTGCCATGGTCTTGGGTTCCTCAGGCTAGACAGGAGGACAGGGCTTCCGTGTACTCTCAGAGACCTGCCCCTGGGACAGGAGCTATAAGGCAGCATGGAAGGGAGGTGGTGCAGGTAAACATTTCATCGGAGGCCCTGTTCCAGAGGGTTGTGAGTCACGCCAAGAACAAATATGTACTAAAGGTGCAAATGAATGTGCCCCACCTCCTTGTCTGCCTTTTAGCAGACAATTTGGAGGCTGGAAACCTTCCAGGACTCCTCCCAGACCATTAACCTAAGTAATACATTAGGATCACAGTCATCACAGTTCCTTGCAGGACCTGCTTGCCTCCCATAGGGTCCTTTGGCTGAGCGATTGAGCGTGAAGGCCTGTCTTGCAACTTGAGGCAAGTGTTTACCAAGGAATTGGAGAAGGGGTAAGTAGTTCTCAGCAGGAGGAAAGCAGTGGGGTTAGAGGAGATCCTATCCTTCCAGAAAAGTTTGGCTCTATATTCTAGGACAAAACTATCAGAAAGGGGTGACCCATGGAGAACCCGACTGGAGCCTGTGATACCTATGAGGGAAGGTTGTGGTCACTGCCTGGATTTCTATCCCAGCTTCACCAACCATTAGTTCCTTCACCTCCTGCAAGTTATTGGACCTTTCTTCCCCATGATCTCCATCTGTAAAATGAAAGATAGCAGTAGGACCTCCCTCACAGGATTGTTTGGGAGAGTGATGAGATGGTATATGGTATTTACATGAGAAGTCCTCAGTAGAATGCGGCCATCATTATTATCAGGAACTGGGGCTGGAAAGAGAAGGTGTTGGAATGAGGACCTTCTTGGAATTCTGGGTTCTAATCTCAAGTGAATTGTGGACTCTGTGACCTTGGATTAATTCCTTTGCCATGGGCTTGAAATTCCTAGACCTGATGTAGGTGGACCCTGGGAATGTGGACCATACTGGTGATTTTTGAACCTTAGTTTATGCGTAGCAAGCTAGAAAATGGTCCCCCAAATATATCAGATCTTCATTTGTAAAACCTGTAAATAGTGTCTTGTTTGGAAAAAAAGGATCTTTTAGAGTGATTAAAGTTAAAGATCTTGAATTGGGGAAATTGCTGTGACTCTAAATGTAACCACAAGCATTCTCATAAGAGGGAGGCAGAAGGAGATTTGACAACAAACACAAAAAGAGAAGATGAAGTGTCCACGGAGGCAGAGACGGGAGTGATGCAGCCACAGGCCAAACAATGCCAGCAGCCACCAAAGCTGGAAGAGGCAAGGGACAAATTGTCCTCAGAGCTTCTGCAGGTAGTGAGGCCTTGCCAGCACTTTCATTTCAGTCCAGTGAGATTGGGTTTGGACTTCTGGTCTCCTAAACTGTGAGAAAATAAATTTCTGTGGTTTTAAGTCACCAACGTGATGGCGATTTGTTACAGCAGCCACAGGAAGCTAACATGGTATGTGTAAGAGTCCCCTAGAGCACTAGCCTACAATGCTGATCCCCTAAGCATTAGCACTGCGCTCGCTCCCTAAAATGTGCCGACTCAGTGGGCCTGCTATAAGACCCACGACCATGCAGTTTTTAAACTATTGTCGCAGAGATGATGTCCTCTGTCACTAAGATGATGTCAGTGCAGACCACATTCAGGATCTCTGGGTCAGCTGAGCCCCACAGCCAGCTCTGACCTAAATCACAGACAAACTGTTGTGTCAAGTGCTTAGCTGTGTAAGCAGGTGTGGCCAGCAGAAAGAAGGGTCTGCCTCCTGATGACCAGCATAAAATGTGGTTTCCTAGGTTTCAGCAGAAATTCAAGGCCAAAATGACCTCCAAAGGCACAAGCTAGCCTCAGAAGGACATGGCTACGACCCTGGCCGATCTGGGGCCCACCTTGATATCCTTCATACCACTTTCCCTTGATTTGTTGTCTGCCTCCACTATTAAGCACATCCAGTAGTCAATTACAATTTACCAGTCCCCCAACCAGCCCTCATCTCCCTTGGATAACCCATCTCCTCCAGAAGCAGACCCACAGATCCACCCAATCAGCACAGAATCTTCCCAAGTGCACCAGACTCCAGAGGAAATCTGAAACCTCAGTGTGGGAAAGGAAAAGAAATGAAAGAAAATATGTATTTATGCTTTTGAATCTAAAGCTTGTGATTGATATACATGCACAATATTAATCTAGAATGATCATTTTCAAACACAAATCTGACCATGTCACTTCCAAGATGAAAATCTCCCAATGGTTGCATAACATTCTGGGGGGAAGAGCAGGGGCGTGAGAGCTGCCCGACCTGTAAGACCCTAACCTTTCCTGCCTCCATCCTCCCTTGCTCTCCCCCTGGCCTTTTTTCAGACCCTGGAAGGCCGAGCTTTGAGCTACACCAGGATGTGCCACCTGCTGTGCCCTCTACCAGAAACCCTCTTCTCCAGACTCCTGCTTGTCCCTCAGAACCTGTGTGCCTCAGGGAAGTGGTTCCCCTCTTACACATTCTCACTGCAGCCAGCTCTGCCTGGCTACTCATCATTAATTACTCCTCCTTTCCCCCACAGGCTCTGATTCCAGAAGGACAATTGTTTGTTTTGTTCACTGCTAAATCAGTATAGCCTAAACAGCTTCTGGCACATAGTAGGGACTGAATAAATATTTGCTGAATGAATCAACCCTCACCAGTATGAAACGCCCAGTGGCTGGATAGATGCATGCTGGGTACAAAGGGCCTAATACCTTCAGGCAGGGTCATTAGTTAATCTGCATGGATCTCAGGAGATTTTTTTCCCTGGCACTGTTCTCCTCTATACCTCCCCGAAGAACTCCCTTTAGACTAACTAAAATGAACAAGCCCATCCTCTGTTCAATCACAAGATAAGTGCAGATGGTAATTTTCCTCCGGCATAAGGGACTCCTTTTGGGTTAGCAATTTCCTTCCATCCCACCTGCCTAAGTCACCTCACTCATCTCCTCCAGATGCACAAATAAACCCTTCCTCTTCCAGAAAGATAGAATAGTGTGCAAACAGCCCACATGCACCACTCATGAAAAGAAAAGCAAGTGAAGACAGGGACCATCTCTGCTTACCAGAGCCTCCTGAACTGACAACCAGCATCTCTCTTTTATCCAGCAGGGCACCCCAGAAGGAGCAGCCTGCACCAGCAGGCGCTGTCAGCCTGGGCAGCCGTCTCCCCAGCTCACAGCCCTCTGCAAATGCCAATGTCAGCTCCCTTCTAGGAAACCTCAGGATTCATTACAAACCCTGAAAGGGCTGAACAGAAACACACCTGGTGGCACCTACATAATAAAGAACTCTTCCCAGCAAATACCCCAAGTGAACACTCTCCCTTGGCACGCACTCCAGCCAAGCCCAAGCTTGGCTTTAGCCACAGACAGCACTGAGCTTTAGCCACAGACAGCAGTTTCTCAGCAAGAAGAACCTGCATGGTCCCCTCAGCAAGGAAGACAATTACTCAAAAGTCAAAGTTTGCTGGTAACATAGTTTGCAAGGTGTGCTAACTTGCATAGTCTAGCCTGGGAATGGGAAGAGTGAAAATTGTCAACTGCATCCTCTGCTTAGCCTTTCCACTTTGGAATTCTAAGGCAAGCAGGGAGGAATCCAATGTCAGGGGTATTATAGAGGTCTCAGACATTGTGGTAGGAATGTGAAATGGTACAGTGGCTTCAAAGTTCCGCAAATATCAAGCACAGAGTTAGAGTAACTCCAAGTAACATTCCACTCCAGGGAAATAAAAAGAATGGAAAACAGAAGTCCACACAAAAATGTGAACTGGAATGCTATACCAGCATTAATTCACAATAACCGAAAAGTGGAAACCCAAATGCTGGACAGTGGATAAATGGATAAAGAGAACATGTTGGGCCTATACCATGGACTGTGATTCAGCCCTCAGAAGGAATGGTGCTGCCTCATGCGAGACCGGGACGAACGCTGAGCTGCGTGAACGAGGCCAGTCACAAAGGCCCTGGAACATGTGGTTATGAAATATCCAGTGTAGACAAATCCTATGAGATGCCTAAAAGGAAGAAGACCTCCACCCCCGCAGCACCATCTGTGAGAACACTATGCTGAGCAAAAGCTTAAAAGGACACATTAACACCACTCCAGCCCCCAAGAAACTTTGACGCCACAGGAAAGAGAGAGCAACACTGGAAGAAAGGAGTGGACACATCCGAGGGGGGAAAGTGACAACAAATGCTCCGTGGCGGAGGGGATCCAGTTGGATCCTGAAGAGTAAGGCACCCTGGCTGGAAGGGTGATTAGGATTTTGAAAAGAGGGCAGTGAGAAAAAGGCATTTTCTAGACTAGAGGAGTCACACAAGTAATGGGGGAAGGAATGGACACCAATAATGCAGAGTGGCTAGAGTGAGGGGTGAGAGCATGAACAGGATGAAAGGGCACTTAGGGGCTTTGCGTGTGGGGTTTTCTCTGTAAGAGGCAGTTGCTGTCAACCAGGAAAGACTTGATGGTTTTAATAGGGTAGTGGGTGTGGGGTTTGGCAGGTGGGGAGGCGAATCCCCAAGGTCCCCCCAGGAATTCAGGAGTGGCTGAAGAGGGAACACACCGCCAGGACGCCCCCAGTGTGGGCACACAGGACCCTCTCCCAGCAAACCGCTCAGGACTAATGTTTTTGTTACATATAGAGAGAAGATTTGTGATTTTCTCCAAATAGAAACTACTTTTTAGAAAAGGAAAAGCTGGGGAACCAAGCTGGGAACTCTCCTGAGATGCTCTGTGTAAGAAACAAAACCAGGGAAGGCAGCAGTTAAATACATCTGAAGCTCACTAGGCGATCCTTTACAGCTGGCCATGTGGAGTTGGGGAGTTTCGAGCTTGAGGCCACTCTTACTGGGCACATCACTGTGTCACACCTTCCTGGACCTCAGAAACTGCTGCCAAGTGGCCATGGATATACCTGTATCATCAGTTTTCTCCTTCCCTTTGAGATCATGCCCTGCAGCATACAAACTTGCTTTTGTTTTTCCTGTTCCAGCCTTTCTTG